ATCTCATTTTCAATTGTGCTTGAAACGTTCTTCTCGTTTGCTTCCCAACAATGCAGGATTCACATGATTTTTCTGGTATGATGATACCTGGCAATCCAGAAACCATAGTCTTCTTGCTTAGCTTCTGTAAATCTTGAAAGTTGAGATGCCCGAACCTTAGATGCCATTTCCAGTTCTCCTCTTCTTTCATAGTAGACAAACACCGTAAATTTTCAACCATATCCATACAGACTTGAAATGTGCAATTTTTAGAGATTTTTCTTTTCAAAATCAATTTCTTGTTTTTATCAAACACTTCCACTTGATTATTGTTTCCCATAATCACTGTGAAACCCTTTTCTATCAATTGACCCAAACTCATCAAGTTGCACTTCATTTTTGGCACAATTAGAACGTTCTTTATAGTCCCATGCAATCCATTCTTTTTCTTTATAATAACATTTCCAATTCCTTCTACTCTTAATGTGCTTTCGTCTGCAAATCTAACCTTACTTTTCTTGGATTCATCCAAATTGATCAACCACTTTCTATTACACGTCATGTGATTTGAACATTCTGAATCTAAATACCAAGATTTATTCAACGAAGCTGAGTCTTCTGGAAATGTTGTAACCATGAGAATTAACGGCTCTGAGTCTGATTCTTCCTTGGCAAGATGAACTTCCTTATGCTCTTTCTTGTTTTATCTATCCTTATTCGAATAACACTCATAAGCGAAATGCCCCATCTTATGACACGAGAAACATTATATGTTTCTCCTGTCTTTCTTCTTATAGTTCTTCTTTGAACCACCTTTTCTCTAGGATGACTCGCTTATGTCTTCTTGATCATCCAAGTCGTCATTGTTCTTCCATTTCTTTTGTGTTGCAGACTTACTTTTCCAATTCTTATACTTCTTCTTTCCTTCTTCCCTTACGTGTTGAACCTTCAACGCTTGCTCATCAGTTTTGATAGGATCTCTATCCAAAAGTCTCATCTCATGAGCCTCTAAAGAACTTTGAAGTTCTTCGATCTTTAACTCTGCAAGGTCTTTAGATTCTTCGATTGCAACAACAATAAAATTGAACCGTCTAGGTAATGATCTCATTATTTTCTCCATTATCATCAAGTCACTGAGTTTTTCGCCGCAACCTTTCATTTGATTGGTAAGACACAAAATTCTATTGAAATACTCATTGACCTTGTCATTGTCCTCCATTTGCAACATCTCGTACTGTCTTCTCAATGTTTGTAACCTTACTTTCTTAATCTTCTCCCCTCCGGCATGGCAACATATTAAGATATTCCACGCTTCCCTCGTTGTATTCGCATTTTGGATTTTTTCAAAATGTGTGTTGTCCACGCATTGATGGATGATCAGCAAGGCTTTATCATATTTCTTTCTGTGCACCTCCTTCTGGTCCTCTGTGCCATGGAAATCAACCGCAGGATCCCCTCCTTCAACCACACTACTGACATCTTATACGCGAAACAAAACCCGCATCTGTGTGCTTCACCTGCTCCAATTTTTGTCTGTGAGAATGGGGAGATTTGTCGTAGAAAAATCAGCCATGATCCTCCTTCTTTTCTGTTCAAAGAACTTCTTTCTTTGATCTTTCAAACTTGCTTGGCCAGTCGCACTGTATCCAAACAAACACACGATACTCCTTAGGCCCTCCCTCGACCAAGGCTCTGGATACCACTAATAGCAGAAAGGATGATGCAGAGGAAAGAATACTGATATAGAAAAGAGATATTGCAGAGAAGATTTAACAAAGATTGTGTAAAGTAACATAATGAAAGAAAATTGTATCAGAGAAAGAAATACAATTGTTTATATAAAGAGGTAAATGAAAGTTTAACAGTAATAACGGTATTAACTATAATGTGAAAATATTATAACTTGAATTACAGCACTAATAAACTGGTTGTATCAATCTTTGTTTCCTTCAAAAGGTGGAAGGAAGATACTTATCTAGACTGAGTTATGTAATTGTTGTTAAAGAAGTTACATGATGGATTTAATGTTATGTCAAGAGTATTTAATGTGTTTAAGTTATAAGATGATCAAATGTTAGGAGAAAGAGCATTATAAAGATTTTGAAAAAATTCCATATAAAGAAAATTCATGTAAATATGGAAGGTTGAAGAAATCCTTAATTACAACAAAAAAGTGCACAAGGTTTTGCTTTTTTAAGTAATTTGTAATCTTATAGATGTAAGAAAGAACATTGTTTATACTTATATATGTCAAAAGAGTATTTTTTTATCTTGTATCTATCACATGTTACTTTGTTTTCTAGTAAAGAGTTCTATTACCTGATGCATCATTTTTTTTATTAATTTCTCAGTCTTAATCAAAGTGGTGGTTGTACAAACAATACTCTATTTTAACTAAAAGAATTTAAAGAATATATCTAAAAAGCGAAAAATAAATTCATGAGAAAGAGAAAAACATAAAAGTATGATATAAATAGTCGATTTTAGAAGAATTATGTCTCAAAGTTGTCATCTCTTTTATGGTTGTCCTATTGGTGGACTTAGATATAAAATTTGCAAGAACATTCACATATTAAGAAATAAGCAATGTAGAAGAGAAGATTAATTGCAATTTTAAAAATATTAAAAAAAATTATAACTATTAAACTTTTTCTCGTTCAAAATTTAATTACGTTATGAAATTATTTTTAATATAGCATATTAAATGAATATCCGTTTCCCATAAAAATGACTAAGAAAATGACGTCATTACAGAATTAAACATTGAAACTTGACATTTCTCTAATTCTAATTATTTAATTTGACTTTTCACAGTTTATATTTTGTACTATTTGTATGAACTTATTTATATATAACTGTCAAAACTTACTAAATGTAATTATTTAATATTGTGAACTTATCTGTTAACTATTTTTCTTATATATTATTGAATGTTTACATTAGTATGCTATTTGTATAAAAAAAATTATGATATGAAGCAAACTCTTATTACGAAACTTGTACGAGTTTATTAAACTCTTGAATTTGATATTCTTGTATGTAACTAATATTAGGAGAGTTTTTATCAAAATAAGATTTGACAAAGTGTGTTTTTTCTTTTCTTGCATTACATTTGTCAAACTTGAAGTTACATTTGACATTCTTCAACAGACACCACTCTTAAGATAGATTGATTGTTAAATATAAACTTAGTTTGTGAACACCTCTCAGAAAAAGCTTTAAGAAAATTTGTTAAAATATTTAGTAATAAATGATAGTAAATAATAATGAATATAAATAATAATGAATATAAATAACAATAAATAATATACATATAAGTTATAAATATATAGTAAATAAAAATATATTAAATAATAAATGAATCCAAGAAACAAGTTCATGAAATATAAATCTACCATAATCAAATATTTAAAAAAAATTTAAAATTTAAAATATAATACATTTTATTAAAAAGTATATAAATAAAAATATTAAAATTTAATCATTTAATTTTATAAAATAGAATACTTATCTTAAAATTTAATTAAATCTTTAAAAGGTAAAATTTATAATTAAAAAATTATATTTTAAAAAGTCCAGTGTGTTGCAAGGGTACAAAAACTATTTTTGTTAAAAAAAATTGAATAACTTTTAACATGTTTTCCACCCATTGAATCAAAAGTAAATTATGATTATCTGACATGTCTATGTGATAGAGAAAGAGTATGTATGTTGAATGAACTTATGCCAAAAAATCTCATTTTTCAAACAAATTCAAAACCCAATCTCTTGATAACCAAACATAAAGGAAAGTAAAGTGATGATGACTGACACCCTAAAGTTGACCATAAAGCCGTTTCAATCCCCTCTTTTAGTTTATCCCTTCACACCTATCTTATTTTTCACAAATTAGTTTCCCAAATTCTTTTATACATTCCAAAAACTAATTGCTGAAATATAAAAAGATAAAAAAATAATAATAAATTAGAACTTCTAACAGTAGGTTCCTACAATGAATTCCCTCATAATGTTTTAGTGGTCCAGATTAAAAATCAACTAGGCCTGTCTGTTAGGGCCTTTTACTGTTAGGGCCCTTTAGTATTTATATTATCAAAACCACCATTCATTTGCTTTACCTCTCTGTTATTTCCATATGCTGCATTTCCAAAATAATGCTATTATAAAATAGTATTTCCAAATTTTAAAACAACATTAATAGCGATCTCTCTCTGTTATATTTTTACAACAATTATAAAATAAATATAATTTTCTCTATTTTAAAATAGTATAAAAGGGAGTAAGGTTTCTCTAACTCCGTAGCCTTTTTAAGGAAAGCCCATGCCGTATTTCAGAAAGCCACAAGGCCCATAATCAATATGGAACTCATTGTTCCCCTCATCAATAATTCTCTCTATTCTTCAAGGCAGTTGCTCCCTCCACCACCACCGAATGCTTCCTGCACCACTCCATATCAATTTTGCCCTTTTTTAAAATAGATGTCAACATCCGTTTCACCTTCAACGGATGTTGACATCCGTCCATTCACAAATCCTATATTTTAATTTAATTGTTTTTATTTTAAAAAAAAAATCTTCAAAACGGATGTGGCGACATCCGTTAACTGATTGTCACATCCGTTTTAATAAAACTTTTAAAATTATTTTAATTATTATTTAAATAATAATATATAACTTAAATTAATAATAATTATTTTATTAAATAAAATAAAATTAATTCATAAATAATTAAGTAATAATTTTAAATTAATTAAATAATATTTATATATTAATTTAAAATATAATAAATTAAAATCTGAAAATTTAAAAAGAAAAAATTTCCCGGTTTAATAAATTTTTAAAAACTATTTTATTATTTAAATAATAATACATAAATTAAATTAATAATAATTATTTTATTAAATAAAATAAAATTAATTTATAATTAATTAAATAATAATTTAAAAAAAATTAAATAATATTTATATATTAATTTAAAATATAATAAAATAAAAAACTAAAAATTTTAAAAAGAAAAAAACTTCAATGCNGGGGAAGAAGCTAGAGTCTCAGGTGCGGCTCAAGGATTCTGAGGTTATTTTTCTTAGGGAAAAGTTAGAGGAAGCTAATAAGCGTAACAAGGCAATTGAGAAGAGATTAAATCAAAGTGGCCAACTAGCTGTGCTTGATAATGTTCACATATCAGGGTTAAGTCCTAGCCATTTTATCACAGTTCTTCGCCATGCGGTTAGGTCCATTCGCAACTTCGTGAGGGTGATTGTGGATGAGATGAGATCTGCAGACTGGGATGTTGATGCTGCAGTGAATGCCATTGAGCAGAATGTGGTTTATTTGGCAGAAGATCACAAGTGTTTTGCAATTGAGGCATTTGTTTGCAGAGAGATGTTTGATGCTTTCCACTTCCCAAACTTTTCTGTGTCAAAAGAGTCTCTCCCTGATAGAAGCAGGAGGCAGCAGTGGTTCTATGGGAGGTTCAATGAGATGAAATCCATGAAGGCAAAGGACTTCCTTGCTGAGAAGCCAAGATCATCATTTGCAAAGTTTTGCAGGGTGAAGTACTTGAAAATGGTTCATCCCAAGATGGAGTCATCATTTTTTGGTAACATGAGTCAAAGGAACCTTGTGAATGCTGGAGAGTTTCCAGACACTGCATTCTTCACATCATTTGCTGAGATGGCCAAGAGGGTGTGGCTTCTACACTGCTTGGCCTTCTCTTTGGAGCCCCAAGCTTCAATCTTTCAAGTGGGGAAGGGGTGTAGATTCTCTGATGTATACATGGAAAGTGTGAATGATGAAATCTTCCTGTATTCAGAAGTGGAATCAGATCCACAAGTTGTTTTCACAGTAGTTCCGGGGTTTAGGATTGGTAAAACTGTTATACAGTGTCAAGTGTACCTCTCACAGCACCAAAGCAAGGAAAAAAAAATCACTTCCACAAAGCAAAGGTAGCAGCAGCAGCAGGCACTAGGGGACCCCACAACACAGGTTATATTGAACTGGAAGGCATTCTTTTTATTTTCTGAGTGAACTTTTTGGAGGGAAATGAAGGAATTGTGGGGACTGAGCTCTGGCTAGGATCACTCACTGGGGCATCTTTGTCCATTTGTATTTTGGCCATTTTGAAAAGAAAAGCCATTGGACCGTTGCATTGGGAACAACCCTTTCTTTAGAATCTTTCTTAATTTATGCCAGATTTATCAAAGACATCCTCCCAAATTTTCTTATCAGCCCAATGACAGGGATGTCTAGCTGTTATGCATCTTTTTTAGACATTGCATTTTATTATATGTACATAATGATATATAGGTGGGAATTTTATAATCCTCCTCTTTTCCTTTCTTTATTAATCTTACTTCTGCTCAATTCCCCTATTTTTGACCCTCTTAGCTTTATTTTTTAATGCCACTTGGTGTGGCTCTACATGCCTCCAAAATCTATGTGTTGTCAACTTACCTTTAATTATTCTTCATTCCTCCTACCAAATGCTGGTTAAATATGAACAGAAACAAATAAACAAATGGCAGAATGCCAATTTTTCCCCTTGCAGCTGTGATTAACTAATTCAATGGTGACTGCTCTTGTTGTACAAATGGATATTGGGTGTGTAAATGTATTGAAGGCTAATGGGGGCCCCCCAAGATGCCAACTTTATTGAACTAAGTCGGTGTTGAAGGGGCATGTGAAGACAATATTTGCAAACCTTTCTATGTCTCAATAAAGGAGATTTGAGATGTCATTCTTGTTGATGGGTTTGTATGCATGCATGCATCTTCATGTCATGTTTCCCAACTGTTACAAATATCTATGCATACCATGCTGATGCAGGTGGTTGTGTGTATATTGGGCTATGATTCACATGGTGTAGCAGAAGTGGAAAGTGGGTAAGGACCATATGGATCTTTAAGGGCTATTCATGTCTTAAAAATCTTCGAAAGGTGTCATCTTTTACCCTAGAATAATTGAGGGTCAAACTTTTTCTCCTCTGATAATTTCATGAAGTTTGGTACAGGTGGCAAGGGGGTAGAAGGGTAGGTTTAGGTGAGTTACATACCATGTAAGTTTCTTTGTAAGTAAATTCGTATGTTTTTCTGCTTCATTGTTTTTATAAGTTTAAGATTGTTGTTTTTTTTTTCTGTAGTTTTCAGCACTGATTCGTTGATCTATTGAAGAAAAAGAGTTACATTCTGTTTTGGTAATGAGTTACTTTTTCTACATGTTTGGGTCTTTTTTTTTCTCCTATATGAAAAGTAGAATAAAAAATTTGGATTTTTTGTAAATTTCTTATATTATTATCTCTGTAATGTACTTTTAAAATATGTTAATAAATATTAAATTTAATGTTTTAAAATATATTAATAAATATTAAATTTAATGTTTTAAAATATATTAATAAATATTAAATTTAATGTTTTAAAATATATTAAAACCTTGTTAATATATTTTGAAAATTTCAAAGAAAAACAACACTGCGCAGAAAATCATTTTCCAATTTTCATCAGAGCATTGAATACAGGGTTTTACTTGGGTGTGACAGGACAGAGTCTTTGTAACAACACAACTGACAAAATAAAAAGTTAGGCAGATATCAATATAGTGGAATATTGCTACACTTTTTCATATATATATATATATATATGTATATATATATATATATGTATATATATATATATATGTATATATATATATATATATGTATACATATATATATATATGTATACATATATATATATATATATACATATATATATATATATACATATATATATATATATACATATATATATATATATATATGAAAAAGTGTAGCAATATTCCACTATATTGATATCTGCCTAACTTTTTATTTTGTCAGTTGTGTTGTTACAAAGACTCTGTCCTGTCACACCCAAGTAAAACCCTGTATTCAATGCTCTGATGAAAATTGGAAAATGATTTTCTGCGCAGTGTTGTTTTTCTTTGAAATTTTCAAAATATATTAACAAGGTTTTAATATATTTTAAAACATTAAATTTAATATTTATTAATATATTTTAAAACATTAAATTTAATATTTATTAATATATTTTAAAACATTAAATTTAATATTTATTAACATATTTTAAAAGTACATTACAGAGATAATAATATAAGAAATTTACAAAAAATCCAAATTTTTTATTCTACTTTTCATATAGGAGAAAAAAAAAGACCCAAACATGTAGAAAAAGTAACTCATTACCAAAACAGAATGTAACTCTTTTTCTTCAATAGATCAACGAATCAGTGCTGAAAACTACAGAAAAAAAAAACAACAATCTTAAACTTATAAAAACAATGAAGCAGAAAAACATACGAATTTACTTACAAAGAAACTTACATGGTATGTAACTCACCTAAACCTACCCTTCTACCCCCTTGCCACCTGTACCAAACTTCATGAAATTATCAGAGGAGAAAAAGTTTGACCCTCAATTATTCTAGGGTAAAAGATGACACCTTTCGAAGATTTTTAAGACATGAATAGCCCTTAAAGATCCATATGGTCCTTACCCACTTTCCACTTCTGCTACACCATGTGAATCATAGCCCAATATACACACAACCACCTGCATCAGCATGGTATGCATAGATATTTGTAACAGTTGGGAAACATGACATGAAGATGCATGCATGCATACAAACCCATCAACAAGAATTACATCTCAAATCTCCTTTATTGAGACATAGAAAGGTTTGCAAATATTGTCTTCACATGCCCCTTCAACACCGACTTAGTTCAATAAAGTTGGCATCTTGGGGGGCCCCCATTAGCCTTCAATACATTTACACACCCAATATCCATTTGTACAACAAGAGCAGTCACCATTGAATTAGTTAATCACAGCTGCAAGGGGAAAAATTGGCATTCTGCCATTTGTTTATTTGTTTCTGTTCATATTTAACCAGCATTTGGTAGGAGGAATGAAGAATAATTAAAGGTAAGTTGACAACACATAGATTTTGGAGGCATGTAGAGCCACACCAAGTGGCATTAAAAAATAAAGCTAAGAGGGTCAAAAATAGGGGAATTGAGCAGAAGTAAGATTAATAAAGAAAGGAAAAGAGGAGGATTATAAAATTCCCACCTATATATCATTATGTACATATAATAAAATGCAATGTCTAAAAAAGATGCATAACAGCTAGACATCCCTGTCATTGGGCTGATAAGAAAATTTGGGAGGATGTCTTTGATAAATCTGGCATAAATTAAGAAAGATTCTAAAGAAAGGGTTGTTCCCAATGCAACGGTCCAATGGCTTTTCTTTTCAAAATGGCCAAAATACAAATGGACAAAGATGCCCCAGTGAGTGATCCTAGCCAGAGCTCAGTCCCCACAATTCCTTCATTTCCCTCCAAAAAGTTCACTCAGAAAATAAAAAGAATGCCTTCCAGTTCAATATAACCTGTGTTGTGGGGTCCCCTAGTGCCTGCTGCTGCTGCTACCTTTGCTTTGTGGAAGTGATTTTTTTTTCCTTGCTTTGGTGCTGTGAGAGGTACACTTGACACTGTATAACAGTTTTACCAATCCTAAACCCCGGAACTACTGTGAAAACAACTTGTGGATCTGATTCCACTTCTGAATACAGGAAGATTTCATCATTCACACTTTCCATGTATACATCAGAGAATCTACACCCCTTCCCCACTTGAAAGATTGAAGCTTGGGGCTCCAAAGAGAAGGCCAAGCAGTGTAGAAGCCACACCCTCTTGGCCATCTCAGCAAATGATGTGAAGAATGCAGTGTCTGGAAACTCTCCAGCATTCACAAGGTTCCTTTGACTCATGTTACCAAAAAATGATGACTCCATCTTGGGATGAACCATTTTCAAGTACTTCACCCTGCAAAACTTTGCAAATGATGATCTTGGCTTCTCAGCAAGGAAGTCCTTTGCCTTCATGGATTTCATCTCATTGAACCTCCCATAGAACCACTGCTGCCTCCTGCTTCTATCAGGGAGAGACTCTTTTGACACAGAAAAGTTTGGGAAGTGGAAAGCATCAAACATCTCTCTGCAAACAAATGCCTCAATTGCAAAACACTTGTGATCTTCTGCCAAATAAACCACATTCTGCTCAATGGCATTCACTGCAGCATCAACATCCCAGTCTGCAGATCTCATCTCATCCACAATCACCCTCACGAAGTTGCGAATGGACCTAACCGCATGGCGAAGAACTGTGATAAAATGGCTAGGACTTAACCCTGATATGTGAACATTATCAAGCACAGCTAGTTGGCCACTTTGATTTAATCTCTTCTCAATTGCCTTGTTACGCTTATTAGCTTCCTCTAACTTTTCCCTAAGAAAAATAACCTCAGAATCCTTGAGCCGCACCTGAGACTCTAGCTTCTTCCCCATGATCTCATATGTTTTGATCACACCCTGCAGCTCCTTGGATTCAGCCTCAAGAATAGCTGTCTCGGGCGAAGGATCAAACTGTTTCTTCAAGAAACATTGTTTCAGCTCAGACAAGTTCTTCAACTCAGACACTAGCAATTGATCAGCAGCTTCGATTCCATCAGGGTCAAAAGGTGACTGAGAATATTGGAACTCAGCATATGCACCTTTAACAATTGAAATGCTAGCAAAAAGCTTTGCCAGAAGAGCTTCATTGGCCTTTCTCTCCTGAAGCTCTTCATCATCATCTTCAACGAAAGACTCAGACCAATTCAGTGAACTCTTATTACTCTTTCCCATGTTCCCTTCATCCTTGAGATTTGCATCAGATATAACACTCTTCAACCCATCAACAGAGGCAATCCCAATCAGTGCTTTCACATGAAGAACCTTAGCAAAACTGCGTGCCAGCTTCTTTCTCGGGGTCACAGCCAATGGCTTCACCGATTCCATCTGCATAAGCAGTCACCAGAAATCACAAACGCAGATCAGAACTGTGATTAGTGAAATGTATGAATCAAGGATCAGCAATATCTTTAAAGGGTCTCACGAGGGCAATAAAATAAAGTCTTATATATTATAACACAATGGTGATGATGATGGCCATGTTCAAGCAAAAGCTTTTGACAAAACATAAAGAAATAGTGCAATGCTTTAACACATAGACCGAGGACCTTTACTAGGGGAGGGAATTTTTCTTTTTGTACTACTCCATCTACTACTAAAATTTCATTGTATGCATAATGTAAACAGTGTCAAAAAGCAGTTTCTAACACCGATTCAAGAGAGTAGAAACCAACCTAAGAACAAGATCTAAAGTTACATTAAAAAGGTCAAAATTGTAGTTTATCCACGTAATACTAGGCATCTTGTCCATCATGGCAAACTGCAGCCGGATTCTTAACATAAAACCAAGATCTTACGTAACAAGATCCAGTGATTAATAATTAATAATAACTAAAAATAAAGAAAGAAAACACCATGCTTTATTATACCATGAAAAGGAAAAAACTTTAAGCCCTGATTTAACACCACCATCTCCCACCAAGAAAACAAGCTCATCATTTCTACAAACACTTTATAGTTTATCCCAACTTCCCTTCAAGGAGCGTTAGAGCAATAGGCCCATCACTCAATTAAGCACACCCCCTTTATTAGTTTCTTTAGCATGAATTATTTATAAACCCATATTTCATTCACTTCCCATGTTTAACAAAGAAATGGTAAAATCAATTTACAAAATTCATCTAAATTACAGCTTTTATAGGGTAATCATTGGACATAGGTAGATCACGGTTGAATTGTGACTCCCAATGTAACCCACCCTTTAAAAAACCTGACAATTATTTTTTCTATTAAAATGTGTGTTGGCCTGATTCATAATCCTTAGGATTCCCTGTGCTATGCATATCAAACACCTTTATTTAGCCCTGTAGGAAGATAGTACTTCCCCAACAGTGTTAACAGCAGAACCCATATGAAAGTGAACATGTCTGATATGGTAAATCTAACTTAAACGTCATGACAAATGAAAAATGTTTTCTTACAAAAGGGTGTCAGGGAAAAATAAAAATTACATTTTTCCCTTAAAACTAAAACACCAAGAATTGGTTATGGAAAGTAACATCTTGTAGGTAAATTCAGACACTAAATGTTTCAACTTATAGTTGCTTCTCTAAAACTGGGTCCATGTAAAATAACTTAACCTAACCTAAATAAAATACCAACACATGGTAGATAAGACATTTATATCCCTCTACAGAACGCGTGTTTTGTGGGCTGGCAAAAGTTTAGGGTAAAAAGAAACTGAAAAGAAACCATGAAAATGGAATGTGTTCACATAATACCATTTTTCTTCATTTTCCTTTACCCAAATGAGGAAAAGATTCAACTAATTTTTTGCTTTCATATCCAAAGTATTATTGCACACATATATTATTATATAGAAAAAGACAACGTGATGATTGTACGTAATAGTTAGGAGAGATAATTTACATTTCCCGTGACTAAAATCACGGTCTCTGGGAACTTGCACTGAGTACAAGTGTTCCATAACGGCAAAAATTTAAGAGCTATTGAACAGCATTAGCACCACTTAATTACCACTTAATTGCTCTTTTATAACATGAAATAAATAATCCGTAACGTTTCTCAGACAAAAGAAGGTATTATAATTGAAAAGCTAAAAGAAAGAGATAAAGGTGAACCAAAATAATGGAGTTTAGAAGAAAAAATGATGAGGAAAATATTTTTGGGACAGAGAAGTTACTGTGACACACACTGATATCTTTCCAAAGTTAATGTCATTTCAACATCCATTATGTCAGAAGTTCACATGCCTATCATTAAAAAAGGTCAAAATATTACAACATGAGATTCTTAGAGCTCTAAAAAATCCATATTTTAACTTCCAAAAAAAAAAAACACAAAACAACAATTGGTGACTCAAATTTTGAAATTGAACTTCACAAGTACCAAACTCCTCCATACCCATTTGAACACCCCAAAAGTCAAAATAAACGCTGCCAGAAATCATGCTATAACTTCAGAGCAATCAAAGGTTCATTACAGACAAGAAACAACTAATAAGCATGCATACATGAGGCATATTTTTACAACCTTGCTTTTCATCAGTCAAGGCTATTTTTTCACTCATGCATACACATTTTCACCAACATTTTTTAGTGTTTTCCTTCAATATAATAAAAAAAGTTCACTCAACAAAAAGCAGTTCTAGAGTAATATACAAAAGCATGGAACAGATAGATGGTGTAAAAAGGTAGAAACCAGTGAGAAATTAAACGTACCTTCAGAAATATCGGGAGAAAATAAGGGTGAACGAAGTTGTCAACCTCTCGTCATTGCGAAACGTAAATCTCAAGAAAACAGAGAGAACAATTAAACATGTTATTATTATGTATTATTATTTATTTATTTTAATATTATTATTTGGTGTTGTTCTGTAACTCCAAGCGCTACCCTGAGAGAAACACCCTGTAACCAGAAATCATCAAAAATCAAAAGCAAATACAACAAAAATCAAAGGGACTTTTCTCCAAACTCGAAAAGTAACAACACACCCGAATGAGGAAAAACAATGAGCACCACTGACAACAACCTACACAACCCAACAAAAATATAACAGGATCATAAAAAACGTGTCATCAGCAAAACACCAGACCCAACAAGAAAAAAAAACGTTCAAAGATGAAAACTTTCCCCCAGTAAAACAATAAAAACACCCTTTTTGGACAACCCCAGAAATCACTGGTTCAGTTTCAATGGTAAAAGTGCATAGAAAGAGAAAGAGAGACAAAAACAAAAGGGGTACGTTATTTCAACGTTTACCTTAATATAAAGAAACAGTTCCTCCAATGAGCGGAAAAAATGGAGGAGTTGGGTTTGAAATTGGAAGAAAAGTGAAGCGTCTTTTACTAGACCCTGGGGAGAGGAGTAGCGGGGCTTTGAGAAGAGTCAGAAAAACCACAGCTAAAGGACAGAAAATTCTAGAGAGAGAATTTAATGATAGAGAGAAAGAAAGAGAGGAAAATGAGAGTGAAGAAACAGAGGAAGAAGAAAAACAGAGCATAGAAGAAGGAAGAGAGAGAAGATATAAGGAGTGACAGAAATAAAAAATAAAATAGACACTGTTTCAGGTCTCAACCTGACTTTTGCGAATTTAGAACGCCACATTGGTGCAGTTACACTTTTACACTATTTTAATCAATTTTTATGTAATATATATGCCATTTTTTAAATTTAAGGTTTAATAGCCAATTTAGTCCCCACTTTGGTTGAAAAATCTCAATTTAGTCCCTCGTTATAAAATTGTTTTACATTAGTCCTAACTTTTAAAATAGTGGATCAGATTGGTCCCTTTTGTTAAATATAAGTTAACGAAATTAATGGATGATGATGTGACACAGCTTAAAGCTGATGTGTTAGATTGGTCCCTCGTTAGCTTTAAGTTATGTCACATCATCATCCATTAATTTTGTTAACTTATATTTAACAGAAAGGACCAATCTGACCCACTATTTTAAAAGTTAGGACTAATTCAAAACACTTTTATAACGAGGGACTAAATTGAGATTTTTGAACCAAAGTGAAGACTAAATTGTCTATTAAACCTAAATTTAATTACAGCATATTTATTTATTATATTAATTCGAAATTAGTTATAGTTAAATAACATCATTCAAAATATTGGAAACACAAAAATGATTATTTTAAAAATATGATTTATTTGATATTTTTATATATACGTTTAAAATTATTTTGTAGAGACTAAGAGATGTAATAAAACATTAATTTTAATAAAATAGTTGTACTCATTTTTATTTTACCGAATTTTTAGTAAATTATTACAAGGATTAAGGATATAGCAGAAAAAATAATAAATATATTACTAAATTTCTGAAAATAGATAAAGATATAATATAATTTTGAAATTTTAAATAAATAAAAAGCAACAAATAAAATATCAAAAAGGCCAAAATTGAAAATCAAGCATCACTAAAAAAAAAAAGTAATATTATAATGCATGTTAATATTTGTAATTAATGTGTTTTCTAGTGGCGTGAAATTAGCCTTATTAAATTTGAGAATAGGTATATTCGGTTTATCGGTTTGCTTCTAACGTTTGAACCTAAGGTTGGCCAAAATTACATCTGACAAGGAAATTAATGTGAATGCATTATTTTATTAGTTTCATTCTTGTTTATTTATACTGCAATCAAAAATATTTTTACACAATAAATTTTCTGGACTGTCAAAATAATCTTCCGTTGAAACTATTTCACATTTATAATGAAGAGCTACTCAAATTAATGAAATTATATATATATATATATATATATATATATATATATATATATCATAATTATAAAAAGTGTGTTGTATTTATTAATTATTATAGTCTATAAACATCTCTTAAAATAAGCTTTATAGTAAAAGAGGATAAATGTAATCGAGTTTAAATTTCGTAAGAAGAAACAAAAGTGATAACTATTAACATTTATTATCTACGAACCAAAATAATGAAGAATATTATGTTAAAAATGCAATGCATACATAAAATTATGAAGATAAAAATAATGATTTTAAACTGTAGTTATTTAAAAATGGTGAAATTTAATTATTTTAATTAAAATTTTTTAATATAAATAGTTTTGTTATGAATAAATTTTATAATTTTAAAATATCATTTTTTTAAAAGTTATTTTTTTAAAATTTTCAGACTTCTCTATGAGAATTCTCATATTCTGTTTGTCTAATTGAAAAACTAAGATCATAGGATTAATCTTGATGACGAGTTATTCAATTTTGATCGATCAGTTTCTCAGATAGAGTAAGTTCATTTTATGCTTTTTTAGTCTGTTTTGTCTTCTTTTGCATGCAAGTACGTTATGGATGCATGTAACGTTTGAGTCTTCTATAAGAGTTTCTATTGATCAGTGGTTCTGACATTGTACCCTAGTCGTGTTTCTATGGTTTATACGAGTAGATAAGACTTCCAATGCTTGTGGAGTTCTTTTAGGCATTCTTTAGTGGTTTGCTCTTGTATAAGGTAAGGGAAGCTAACTACCACTTTTTGATGTTGGTGATGCTTTAATAAATTGTGTTGCATGTTTGATTGGGTTTGAAATTATTAAATTGGTATCTGAGGTTGTTAAGGTAAATTCTATTGAATGTGTGCTTGTTTTGGTTTAGAATTGTGGTATAATAGATGAAATTTTGTGGTAATTACCTATCGAATGAACTTGGTGTTGGTGGTTTGAAATTATGAATTTTAGGATATGGTTAGTTAAATGTGTTGTTAAATTCTGGTCACTTATGAAGGTGTGAGGAAACACTAAAAGGGGGGTTGAATAGTGTTTCCATAACTTTTTCGCAACTTGCAAACTAAACATCATGTACGTAACACTTACGAGTTAGAGAACCTTGTTAGTAAACAATATCCTGCAAAGATTGTTTACATGACTAACTCAGTGTATCTAGATGTTGTAAGTGGATAGTGACATTAGATGAAGTGACGCTTGTTGATAGAGAATGAGAGCGTGAAAAAGCTTCAACTATAACTAGATCGTTTATAAACAACTAAGACACACAAAACGTTTTATACTAGCTCACCTATTAGGGTTACGCCCAGTTCCATTAAATACTCAATGATGTACAGTTGAGTGTTTTAAACCACTCTTGGTGTTCCTAGTCCTATTGAGTAACCATTGTTACTTCTAACTAGTTGAGTTTAACTCACTCCTGATTGCGTAGTATTATTCACCACTTTGGTATCCCTAGACGATTACAGTATCATTGCGATACATAATCTAGTTGAGCTTTTACCCACTCCTGGTTTTTGTAGACAATTCTAGTATCATTGTAATACATCGTCTTGTTTAGTTTCCCTACTTCTGGTTGTGAAGTATTATTCACCACTCCTGGTATCCTTGATCAGTGAATAACCTCATATTACCCTAGATTAGTTGAGTATTCACACCCCTCTTGGTTTCTCAGTCAACAAGTAGTTTTAATTACCCTTGATTGGATGAGTATTCGCACCACTCTTGGTACTAAGCAACTCTGCCTAGATTTCCTTGAGTATTCGCACCACTTGTGGTATCCTTAGGCATTTTGGTATCCATGATACCACCTAGCTAAGTTTCATCCATTCCTAATTGTGTAGTATTATTCACCACTCTTGGTATCCCTCATCAACGAATAACCTTCAGTTACCCTAGATCAATTGAGTATTCGCACCACTCCCAGTACTAGACGACCTCGCCTAGATTTCCTCAACTCTTCAAAATTAAGTTGTAAGTGTTTTTATTCTCTCCAAAATTGCAATCAATGATTGCTTACAAGTTGTTCAGACTATTACTCTCATAGAGAGAATATGATTATAATAAAAAACAGTTTAAACACTCGCAGATCTTTCTCTCATCACTCTTTTTCTCTCATCTTACATAAGTAAGAAAATGATACAATGAAGCACTAAAGGAATGTTTTACTTTGCTTTTTCTTTCTTCTCTCTTGTTACAAATACAAGTATATATTGCAATGAGGCTTGAGAGATTTTTTTTTATGTTTCACACTTTTACTCTTTCTTCTTTCTTCATGTGGATATTCTTATGAAGCTTGAGAGTATTCTTCTTTTCTTGAGCTATTCTCTTTTTCTCTTTCCTTTGATTTGAGGAATTTAGCTTTAATAGCTCAAAGACATTTCCTTGCTCAATGGATGATGAGATATCTTCATACCTTCATATTTTCTTTCCTCTTCATCATCATCATCTTCTTTCTTGTCTTCTATTTATACACCTTGATGATATAATTGTTATGACGATGCTTGTCTTGAGATTTGATAATATGACCATTTGACGAAGCTTGTCTTGAGATTTGTTCTTTTCTAGCTATTGGTGTAGGTGTCAGTCATAGGATAATGTCTTTTATCAGAGCATACGTGCTTTTCGGATCTTTTATCAAAAGCATTGTTGACTTATCTTTTTGGCACAACTTTTTCTTCTAACATTCATTTTGATACGTATAAGATGAGGTTGATGAACATTTATAGCGATTCCGTAAATGTCTTTCCTGTTACTTACTATTGATTTGATTGGATTTTGATGTACAATCAACTCATCAGTTATCACTTTTATTATTTTTGAACATTGAACATTTAATGTCATTTAATGCTTGCTTAGAACAACAAAGTGTTTTTTGATTTCCTACCGTTAAGGTAGCATTTGATACGCCGT